GATATTTTGATAGAATCTCAGGTTGTGGCTCAAGGGTCAATCAATGGTGTCATATCAGGCCATCATTACAACCGCAGCTTGCGTGTCCACAAGCTACTGTTTGAAGCTCTGCATCGTTTGCGCTTTCAATCTTTTTTAGATTCATTACCCGTTGATCAGATGCAGTTGTACCAGACACAGCTATTGAATTTTGCTGATTTATATCCAACTGACACTCATCTACTTGGTCAGTCTCCAGAAGTCTCATCCATGTTTCAGAGATACAACACATATATACAGGAAAGGATGGAAAACCCAACCTTTGCCTTTTGGACATCATATCTTGATATGGTCCAACTGCTACTAGTGTTCTTAAGAGCAACAAGAGAATCCAACTGGTATCTTCACCTGGCTGCCATACGTCTCATGTTACCATGGTATTTTGCCTATGACAGAGTAAACTATGCGCGCTATCTCCCTGTCTATTGGATGGAAATGTCTGCACTGCCAGAGACACATGGTGAATGTCACAGGGAACTCAGTGAAAAGGGGAGCTGGACAGTGCAACGTCAAGATGGAAATATGTTTGCCTCTATAGCCTGTGATCAAGCTATAGAACAGACTGTAAACAGGGACTCCAAGACAAAAGGTGGTGTTATTGGGAAAACTATTTCGCATGGTGCAGTGCAAAGGTGGATTCTCTCACAACCTGAAAGATCAGCAATTGTCAGGGAATGTGAAAATTTGGCTGGATTGTCAGAAACTGTAGGAACCTCTAAAGATCTGGGTAAGAACCGAATGCAGGTGGATGAAGAGGCTGTTCACTCAATTATGTCCACGGTGCAGGATATGGTTAATCCATTTGACCAGATCCATGATGGGCTTATGTGTCTCTCATCAGGTGTTCTTGCATCTCAAAATGTCAAAACTGATATGTTAACAGCAGAAGAGAAAGGAGAAGCTGCAGCACAAGAATACATGAAAAGTCGATTAATTGAAAAGAGTGTGGATGTTTTCTTGCCCATTAAAGCCATGAAACTGAAAACCTTCGGCCATGACAAGAAAGTCAAGACAACTCGAACCAAGTCAGGAAAAGAAGTCATGCTGCAGCAGGACAGGAATTTGTTTGCAAGACTTCTTGTCATTGGGCAAACTAGAAACCTTGACCTACATGATATTTTATCATACTCTCTGGGCCCAACATCGTACCCTCTATCCAGTAGTGATGGATCCCTAGCAAAGACAGCGAAATCTGCATTACTTGATGTGGTGGAAGCCAAGTCTGGCAAGTGCCTTGTGGAAGACTCAGTTCCAGCAGGAGGGGCCCTCCTCATAGATGGTATGGCACTTTTACAGGCTCTCCATTCTGTGCCAGACACTTTTAGTGGGCTAGCTGATCTAGTGCTTCAGCACCTTTTCACTCTTGCAAGACAACATTCCTGTACACGTGTTGATTTTGTCACTGATCTGTATCCAGTTGTCAGTATAAAGAATATGGAAAGGTCTAGAAGAGCTGAAGGTGGTGTTCAGGTGCTGAGGATATATGGTAAAGACCAGAAGACCCCAACTCAATGGAAAAAATTCCTTAGCAGTGGCGAAAACAAAGAGAATTTGATCCACTTTTTCTACAGTTCATGGAGTGAGGTTGACTTCAAGAATGCAGCCCTAGACCTGGATATTTATGTCACTCACGGTGAAGATTGTCATTTATTGTCCATTGTGGACAAGAGATGCACAGTAGCAAAAGTAAATGAACTGTCCTGTGATCACGAAGAGGCAGACACACGGCTCTTGCTTCATGCTAAACATGCATCTGCTACGTACAGCACAATAGTCATTAAAAGCCCTGATACAGATGTAGCCATGATTGCACTCTGTCATCTGCCAATCATTACAGCAGATCTATTCTTCTGGACAGGTGTTAAAAACAAGACAAGAATCATAAATTTGCAAGTCGTAGAATCCGCACTTACACCAGCAACTTGTAAAGGCTTGCTTGGCCTGCATGTGTTCACTGGATGTGATTCCACAAGTGCCTTTTTTGGAAAAGGAAAAAGAAAGGCTTTCGATATATATTATGGCAATAGTGACTACATACAAGCTTTCAGCTGTCTTGGAGCAGACTTTGAAGTCAAAGAAAGTACATCAAAAGTGCTGGAACGATTTGTTTGTGATCTGTACAACCAGAAGGAAGCTGGGGGTGTCAATGAGGCCAGGTACAACATATTTTGCTTGTCGACCACCAGTGAGCAGAGTATGCCTCCTACCCTAGATGCTTTGAATTTGCATATAAATAGAGCAAATTATCAAGCAAAAATACACAGATCTGCTACAATGCAGTGGATCAAACCACCACATCCCAATGGACATGGATGGGAAATGAGAAATAATGAACTTGAAGTCAAGTGGATGACACAGGACGCAGCCCCTGAAAGTGTTTTGCTTTCCATTAGTTGCAAGTGCAAGGCTTCTAAGTGTGAATCTAAAAGATGTTCATGTCGAGGATATAAATTGGCATGTACCGATGTCTGTGGTTGCAAAAGGTGCACAAACAAACCTGAAAGGGAAAGGGTGGCTAGTGGATCAGAAGATGAAGATGACAGTGACTCTGACTGATATATAGTAAACTAAAAAAGCATTCCAAGAGCGCATACCTCTGCCAAGACAGCAGTTTTTATTATTATTGATTATTGATTGATTATTGCTCCAGATCACCACCAAAACTTATCATCTCTTCCTTGGCTCACTTCAGACAGTTCCTGAAAATTTCATCAAAATCGGTCCATAACTTTTGGAGTTATTTTAAAAATTGATTTTTGATCATTGATTATTGATTGATTATTGATGCAGATCACCACCAAAACTTATCATCTCTTCCTTGGCTCACTTCAGACAGTTCCTGAAAATTTCATCAAAATCTGTCCACAACTTTTTGAGTTATGTTGGTGACAGACAAACAAACAAACGAACAAACAGACAGACAAACAGGAGTGAAAATCACAATAATATAATAATAATAATAAGTTTATTGAGCACTAAATGATATGACTACATTATTTACACAATATATATACTTATACAATGACATGTTTACATATGTAGTATGTTAAATTACACGTGTAAATGCTAATTATGCTATAAGATTAGTTAATTAAGCTATTCACAGCATTTAGTATTGATGTACTAAATTCAGGTGAACTATGTATTTTAACAGCAGTCTTTAAAAATTCTGCTATTACTTTGAGACTTTTTTCACAGGGTGGATTAAAGAGAATTGACAATATCTGATCACTGTCATCTAGACCCACTACGCTGATTTTCAGTAGTTTATCATGCATTTGTTGCCTTTCAACAGTGTATCTTGTACATTATGTAAGGAAATGTTTTACATTCTCTTTGCAGTTGCAAGCTTTACATTTTCTCTCATCAAGATGAGTTTTAGGATTTTCTTTCTATTGCCAGGTTGTGGTCACTTAGTCTAATTTTTGCAAGTGTTTTGATATTTTATGGGGAGACACTCATTTTGATGTAATTTTCACATTCATAAGATTTTTCATTTGTTTTGTATGTCCTTAATTTGTTTGAGATTGAGCTATTTAATTCCTGTCAGAAGAGTTTTTCAATTTTTATGTTCAATATTTCTACAAGGTTTTCTATTTTATATAATTTCTTTGGTGGGTTGTTATCTTCAGAGAAACCCCATCAACAGTGAAAAGATTGGATAGATTATGTCCATGTGTTTCCCTTTGTATCTTGCTCAAGATTGTGCACCTGCTTTACAGTTCTATTATCTACTGGTAGTTGTTCCAGTCTAAGACTATATCTTTACACAAGTTAAGTTTTAGTTGAAATAATAGGTTAACTGCCGAGCTCAGCTCTACAAATGGTATTGCTAGCCTGCTTTCTTAGACCTAAAGTCCATTTGCAAAACTTTTTCAGATATGCACAAGAAATGTAGAAAGTTATAATTTCACAGGTGAAATAATTAAGTTGGAAAAAAATATTATATATATCATAGAAGCCTTGTTAAATGTGAGCTGTTATTTTTTTTATGTGCTGTTGTTTCTAGACAATGCTGCAATTAATTGCAATCATCAAACTTCTTTAAAATTGTACCTCTGCAATTTTAAGATAAACTTGAACATATACACTCAATTATTCTACCTAGTGAAGCACTTTGAAGCACAGTGAAGATGTTTTTGAAATAATTTCTTGAGCACTTAATTGCCAGCTTCATAAACAGACAGTCCGCATCATACCTAGATTGTATAACTCTACACATGGATTTATACTATTTATCAGTGTAAAATATTGAGTCAAATAATTTTCAGTGATTATATGCGCTTTAATTCAATGTAACATTACTGAACATACATGTAAGTGATTATATGATCACTATATAGGGTAATAGTGTGACCTGTGTGCGATTGTAGTAGAAGTGGTACAGTGCAGTCTACGGGCTATACTACATATACCTTCTTGCCGTGAATTCACGTCAACATTTAGCCAATTATATAAATACACGTATTCTCCAACTATTTAAATCTTTCGNATTGACCTTTGACCTACTTTTTATCATGAAGTGAACTCTGCTAATTTCTTTCTCTTTTAACTTCAAACTTGACAGAGATAGGTCCATAGTTACTCTTGAACTTGAATAGGAAGTCATATACTGGCAATTTACTGTGACCTTGAAATTGACCCTTGACCTATCTTACAAAGAACTTAAATTTGATTGTACCATATATATTTTTTGCAATAGTTTAAAAATTCTTGTTGATTGCATTTTTACAGCTTGTCAAGCACAAAACTGGTGGCTGTGTCCCTTATTTTGTGTATGTGGGGGTCTATACGAATGCGCTTGCTCCAGCTGGTGGTACAATATTCGGAGGCAGTATCGCCTCTCTGATCCTCTAGTTTGATTTGTTTGGCTGGTGTCACTGAACCGTGAATAGGATGATCTTGGAATGTACTCACTGGCACAGTGGTGAACATATATGATTTTCTCATAAATTTTAAACATGCTTTCCAACTTTCTTTTCCAGTATATAAAATCAGAGGAACGAAAAGCTGGAATCGCCACTGAAGTTGACAGAAGGACTGTTAAAAGACTTTTGGACCAGTTGGCAAAGGAAAGCAAAATCAAGCAATTGAAAACTGTTATAAAACATCTCGGCCGTGAAAAAGAGGTAAGTCTGTTTGTCTGTTCCAGGAAAATAACCTACTGAAAATTCTAAAGATTAAAGAAGCCTGCTACATCCTTTCTTTGCTAATCACCTTTCTACTGCTGGAAGTTTTTCATTTGTTTATTTGTGATTGGCTTTGTAATTTGTTTGGGAAATCATCTAACTGCTTACCGACAACCGTGTAAATTATCGATGATAGTTTGTCTAACTGAGGAGGATGTTTTTAGTGATTTCTCAACAAATTTTCACCTGAAAAATTTTTTTGTTGATAATACTTAAAATGTTGGTACAAAGGTTATGAAAGCATAAGTTACACAAAGTACCTTTTTAATCATGATACTAATCTTGGGGTTTAATTTTGCTTTTGTGACTCGATTGCATATTTTCAGTATCACCTGATCATGACCCCTGAGCTCACAGCAGACGACCCCCTGGTGCGGAGTGTGATCAACAAAGCCAAGATGGTTCATCTTGCTGTGGGCAAGGACTCGGCCAAGGCTTCAATACGCGCACAGACTGTACAGTCAAAATTGAAGGACTTGGAAAATAAGGTCAGGAGGATTAGGAGTAATTAAATTAATCTTTAAGTTTAACATATTCCATTGTTTTATTTTCAAAAGATAAGCCTATTACTCATCACATTATTACAAACACATAGTATTGAAGCTTAATTTTGTTCCCAAGTTTGCTAATGGATTGATAATGGTTGTCCATAGGTGTCTTCCGGAAGTGTGAGAAAGTGGTTTCTTCCTGGTCCAGAAATGAATGAAAAAATTTTCTCTCTCTCTCAGTCTGTCTGTCTGTCTGTTTGTCCATCCAGCCATTTATCATTTCAACCTGAAATGGGATAATCTTCATGAAAAGTGTATCTCTTTTGATATCTGAATTTTAATTTTTTTAATATTTTTGTCTGTATTCAGAGTGGAGAAAAGGGGAAGGAAGCAGACGTCAAACAGTCCATTAAAAAGCTTAAGGTCCTTGCTGGGAAGCTAAAGCCAGGAGATTTGCAGTATGATGCAGTAAGTACAGTGGGCAACATTATCCACTGGTCAGAGCAACATTATCCACTGGTCAGAGCCAATCGGCCAGTAGATTTGGCATTGGACAATAGGAAAAAAAAAGAAAAAATGAGATTTGGTACTCAAAAAGAGCTTTTTGAATTAAAATTTTCTCAACAGTTTTAGTTATGGTATACCCTAGTTATTAGAGGAAAGTTGTGGACTTTTAGAACACATGATATTGATGATAAACACTAGACAAAACGTCATTATCATACTCACCACTTCATTTATTATATTCATAAAATTAATTTTTTTGTTATTATCAGAAAGCCACTAGATCTTATGGTCTTCAACCCAAGTTCAAAAAAGCCGAGATAGTCCATAAGCTACTGTGGTACCTTATATATGAATATAAAGGAAAAATTCCCGAGAAAGAAGCAAACGCTCCCGGAAATACATCACCTGTGCCTTCAACTTCAACTGAGGATTTGGAGGAGAATACAGTGTCAAAAGGAGTGAGTTTTTTTTGTATTATTACCTGTATGCTTAGATCATTTACTCATTTTGTATTGATTTAATTTCATATTTTCTCTTTCTTTGATTTATAATAATAATAAAAATAGTTCAGATATTTTTTTATATTTAGAAATTTATGTGTTTGATATTCATAATATTAGATTGATTGTTTTGCCTTTCAAAATTTATTTTCATATAGCATAATAATAATAATAATAGTCTGGGGGGCACAGTAGATAAAGGAAGAATATTTTATGCAAATTCAGTACCATATGATTTTTGTATTTTTAAAGATAATGTATTTAATACAAATGTTGAAATAAGATGTCTTTGCATGGGCTCCTGTTGTCAAATAAAGCATGAGAATAATTATGTAAGTAATTTGTTCAGGTAGCAAAATTAGACAAGTGGAAAAATAATTATCACTGAATTTTTGTGTGGCTTTTCGTTGATTATTAGGAAAATATTGATGAAGTAGAGCCAGAAATAAGTGAAGTGCTGGTTGCTGATGATGAAGGAATATCACCAGGCAACGAAGCTGTTGTTTACTTAGATGAGTTGTCATGGAGACGGTATTTACCTCCACTGCCAAAGCATCTTGGTATGCAATTAAAAATAAATAAATAAAATGTCTAGATTAAGAATTCTCTCTTTCAATCTTGTGCGCATTCTTACTGTAACAGCAATTTGCTGTTCTTAGTGTTGATTTGTTTACCTTTACACAATGTCATGCTGGCTGCATTGCTTTTAAATTTTCAAAATAAACATAAAAATGGGGTGAAATATTTCATAAAATTTTGAACAAATGATTCTCTTTAATTGACCTTGAATTTTTGCTTTATCGTGTTTTACTGTAATATTTTCTTTTCACAATTTTGGCTACATATTTTCATTTTATTCACAGGGTATGGAAAAGGATGGTTCCTTGTTAGTGACGTCTTGTTCTCCATGCCTGTCTGCATGTTTTGCCACATCATCAGCTTACCATACAGAGTAAGTTCTTTGAAATACTTACCTAATTTTTCATTTTTTTCATTTTTTTTTCTTTTTTTTTTGACAATTGATTGTAAGATAATTGGAAGTCGATTCTCAGATTTGATAAAACTTAAGGCTTACCATGCAGGGTAAGTTCAATGAAATAGTCACATTTCTTATTTTACAAAAAAATTGCAAGAAAAAAAAACTGATTCCAAGACATTTGTAATGTTAGATATAAGATACAAGAAATTTTGTTTGGATATTTGATTTGATAACGTTTTTTTGTAAATATGTTAAAAAATAAGTTGTTCCGGAAGAGACAAACGCATTTCCACTCGTCATCAGAGCTTTGTTCACATGACTGAGACTTGATCACATGACTGAGACTTGATCACATGACTGATTCATCAATGTGGGCTTGAAGAATCATAATGCTAAGCATCACAGCGAAAAACATGTCTGTTTATAAATAATTGACTTTTTATTTGCAGGATATTTGGTGAAAATTAAATACTAATACACAATAAATGTCATCAACGCAGTTTGAAAAATCCAAGTCTTTGTTAAAGTCACTACTTTTTTTCCAGATAAATGGGTTATTGGAAATCTTACAAGATCCAGTGAAAAAGTTTTATCTTGTGCGGCACCTACCAACTCAGATTGTCAAAGAGTTGTTGTATGGCAGACGTTTCTTGTTCTGTTTTCATGAAGTCCTGGAAACTCTGGCTGTGATGGGGTTACTTTCCTTTGCTGAGAATAAAAAAATGAAAGAGAAGGATTGGGTAGGTTGTTTGATTTTCAGTAGACGAAAGTGTATTCAGAAGATTTAATTTAGCTTCCCACCTTATCGAAATTATCGAAATTATTATTTATACAAAATAAATTATTATTTATACAAAAAAAAAAAATCATCTTTAGTCCACCAATTCGCTTAAGAGTGGGTCATTTAAAGGGGTCATCTTAATTGGTCAATTTCTTTCCAGCAATTCACCTACATGTACAAGAAGGTCGGTCTCTTGGACACCAGGGAGTCGGCCCCAGGTTACAGTATGATCGAGACGGGGAGAGATTATCCAGTCAGAGAATACGAGTTCAAGAATTCTGAAGATATTGAGCAGTACTGGGTGGACCTCTTGCTCATATGTGGGGACACCCCGTTAGGTAATTTTATGATATATTTTGTATATATTTTATATTTTTTGAAATAGTCCTGATGTCCTTGTGGTAAGATTCATAAACTCGAACCCAACTCTGGTTTGCTGAAGTATAATATCATTGTTCTTAGAGCAGTATCTCATTAATTGTTTTCATAAATATAAAGAGCATGAAAGTGCTAAGATCGAAAGGCAATGTCATGCTTTAATATGGTCAGAAGTTTTTTTTACTGCAAGCTTACCAAAATATTGAATTAAATCATATCACATATAACATGTCTATGTTAACTTATTATAGTGAGGCAGTGATCAAATCTGCACCTTTTTGCAACTATTGTGCATTTTTTTCAGGGAAAGTATACCAGAAATTTCCAGAAGAAGTAACAAGGCCGCGTATCTATGACATGTTCAGGGGGCTGATTAAATCGGCAACTTTTGCAGTGCCTGGTAACGAGCCCGAGGAGGGAAAACCCATGGGGAATGTAAACGGGGCTGCTGGATTTGATGCTAGTTTGATGGCGTGAGTTTTCACATTAAATTTTATATAGTATCTAAAAGTAGCTTTTGAAAATTAACTGAACAGATATGAATGATTTACTTAAAACAACTTATAATAATTATGATTATTAACTTCTTATTTCTACTGACAGATGCAAATAACCAGACAGATGAATAGATAAGTGAATGAATGAATGAATGACTGAGGGAATATTGAATAATTTTAGATATTTAGAAATAAATGAGTAAATTAAACAAATGAATGAATAAATAGTGAGAAATTATTTTCTTCTTCTTTCCATTCTCTTGCCAGACATTTGAGGAAGAACTGGCAGTGGAAGGCAGGGGCTGAGAAACTGTACAGTCACTTAGACCAAGATAAATTTCTGCTGCAACACTGGAAGAAAAGTAGTGACCAAAAATGTGAGTCTTAAGAACAGAAAGATTTGGTCTATGACTAAAAAAAAAATTGATTTTTTAAAGTTACTAGCCCAGTTTAGCAAATAGCAAATTGAAAGATTTTCCTAGGCTACCTTTTTTGTAGATTTAATCTTGGAACTTGTTGATTTTGATTCAGAATTCTAGTTTTCTGAGACCTGCTGGAAAAAAAAAACAAAACAAAAAAATTATTATTGAGACTGAATTGTGAGAAGTATTATTCATATTTTTAGTGAAAAAGGGTCGTCTCCGTCGCTTGACCCAAAGAACAGAACTCGCAGAGGCCAGTAGTGGTGGAATGACGAGGCAGAAGTTTTTAGTCCTGTCTCCTACAGGGCAATCTTCAACACACAACACAGGTATTGGACTTATTTTACAGATATTTTAGTGGCTTACAATGTATAAAAGTAATTATTATAGTTTTCAATTATTTAGACTGTAAGTCTAGTAACATGTACACATACATATATGATAGACAAAGTGAAAAACTTATAAAAGACAGATACAAATTTAGATTAGTAAACAGACATACAGCGGATATTTGTTACTTCTTTGCCAACTTATCATTTACATGTATTGTTTGTGAAATGCAGATGTAAAATACTCCATATAACTAGTAACTTCAAATACTCAGACAGCCATTAATCTCAAATGGAAATTAATCTCCAGAAGGGGACTTTTATCTCAGGTATTAACTCAAACTAACGACCACTGCCTATTAGTAACTAAAATTCTTCACAAACTTACCCAGATTTCCCTCTCCAGTACTTCAGAGATATGCAACAAATATAACCTGTGTGTGTGTGACACTGTGTAATTTTTTTTTTTGTTTCTCTCTGTCAGCCCCCCAGGATCTGGCCCCTGGGTCCAAGGTTTACACTGTCCCGATAGAGGTCAAGAGCACCAAGGACATTAAACTGACCAAGGGCGGGAAGGGCATGAAAAGGAAAGGCTTGGCAAGGAAAGGTGGGGGACTATTTTCGTTATCTGTGTATTTCAAGGAAAGTGCCTATTTGCTTTAGTGCTGAAATTTTTAAAGATTTTTGCAAAAATTCTTTCAGATTTCATTTTGCTTAGATGTCTTTGAATTTTTTCTCTGAACTCCTTTGTAAATTGTCTGTATGTGTGATATCCTTGATGTCGTTCAAATATAAGTCTGGACTTAAAATATTTGTGAATAAATGATTGCTACATTTTCGAAGTGCTGAAGCCTTCATGACAAGTCCTAAGATATTTAGGAAATATCTCTGAGATAATAATGTATGTGTGTGTGTGTGTGTGAGGTAATTCTGTTGTTTTTCTAGGGGAAGGTCCAGAAGCCAAGAAAAAGAGGGAGGAAATTGAAAGCAGAAGGGTTAAAAGTAATATAATCTGTATACCTATTTTTGTGATATTTGCAGTGATTTCAATGCTTTATGTTTTCTTGGGATCTACAAACGATCCTGTTAAATCTTTATGAACAACTCAAAATCAAGAAACGGGGAAACATAATGTTAGAATTTCAATTGGAAACTGAAAAGGTAACATAATATTTTGTGGAAAAAAAGCACTTCATTTTTGAAAAGTAAAGGGGAAAGTAAAATTTGTTGTTGGTTTTTAATAGTAAAGAGAAGAAGGAAGGAAAAGAAGATAGACGAAGCTGATGTTTTAGCTGCTCAAAGAATGAATCGCCTCAGAGTGCTGTGGACTGCACAGGAAGATAGTATGGTATGTTACAGAATTCAGTGTAGTCTTCTGATTATTGGGCACTTTGAGATTGATGATGACGATAACGGTAATGATGATCACTATAGTGATTTTAGTTCTGTTTTATTTATAAAACAAGTCATTACAGGGGAAATAAATTTTAAAGGTCGTAGTGTAAAAATCTTCATTTAAAAAATTTTGTAAGAATAAGTAAGCATTTAAATTTTGCATTCTCAAAATGAAAAATGATTGATGTGTTTAAATCACAAGAAAGCAAATCGGTGAGAGCATGTTAGAAGCCATCTATTTCAGTAAAAACTGAGCCTAGCCATGTTATTTTGTGTTCACAATTTCATTTTAGCTATTGTTGATGAAAGTAACATCGCTCTTTATGAATCCTCATCTTCCGAAGTTTATTCTTCCCTGGAGAGTGGTTCGAGACATCCTCCATGAGCTGTCCCCTGTAAGATCATAATTTTATTTATTTATTTATTTATTTATTTATTTATTTATTTATTTATTTATTTATTTATTTATTATAATTTTACCAAAGTCTTTGATCTAGCACACATTCATTTATTCATTTATTGTTAATGTTTGCCATGACTAAAGCATTGTTTTTGTTGTTGTTTAATTTTGAATAAGGTCTGGTAAGCCATTTTGTATCTTCACTTTTTAAGCATGTTTTTTTAATTGCATAAATTTTGTATTAATATTTTCTGTTTGGTATTTACACAAAGTTTATAGAGTATATTACCTTTCTACATAAAATTACATGATTTTTGCATAGTACAAAATGCATACTGTGACAGGTATAATTATATAACTAAAAATGTGTAAACTAATGTCTTGGCACTTTGTCTAGACCTCCCATGACAAGACCAGCAAAGCTTGTGCCAGAAGGGTGCTGTATATGATGAAGAACCCTCAGACCAAAAACAATGTCTCCATCGTTCTAGGAGAGACTCTGCAAGATCAGGTAATAATAATAATAATAATAATAATAATAATAATGCAGATTTTATCCTAGCATTCTATACATCTTAGCCTTATTTGTGTATATAGCTAAAATCACAAGGCACATAAGTGAAAACACACCAAACTAGTTACTACTTTTCATAAGTATCTTGTTACCTATGAAAGGTTTTGAAGACTGGGTTCCCAAACCTAGATCGATCTAACAGAATAGATTCTTCTTTCACAAAATTTTCAGCGGCTTTGATGTCTGGCACACCTACTGAAACTGCTAAACAATAATTAATTAATTACCCCCTAGCAGCTTCAGTAGGCGTGACAGACTTCTTAGCCGCATAAGTCGATTGCAATTTAGTGAGAATCCCCTCAGATATAGAGTGATCCACAGTTAGAACTGTAGGGTCTGGGAATGGTCCCTAAGTTGTGTGCCTAAATATTAATCTTTGTCTGTTTCAGGATCTGGTCAGAGAATTCAAAACCAAGAAGTATTTGCCAAAAGATATGGAAGCCAATGAGAAAGTTTTCAGAAAGCTTTTCTATAAACTCAAAGAAAAGTTTGAGTAAGTAAATTTTGATTATTTTTGTCAAGAAAGAGAAGTATGTGTTACTTTGAGTGGTTGGTGAACTTAATTCTTTACTTTGTTGCAGGTTGCTGACTTTTGCTTGAGTGTTACAAATTTGTCACAGGCTAAAATTATTTTATAGTATCTGAAAACTAAAAATTTTAAATACTCACTTGTAGCAAAAAATAGAATGACTGAATTAATTTGGAAAAGTTCCCCCCCCCCAAAAAAAAATGGGTTGGGGCACTTTGATGTAGTTTCCATGCTGTTGGTATTATAACTTTTGTCACATTAAAGAAAATAATATAATACCGTATATGATGTTGCCAGGTTTTTAACAGCAAAATGAGTGTCCGGTACCTGTTGGATTGGTCAGATCTCTGTCATATTACCTCAGAAGTCCAAAATAATATTATATCCCCCTTCCCCTCCTCCTCCACCAGCACTATGTGATATCACACTGCTGAATGAGCCAGAACATTCACTTTCTAAAAACTGTGTTGCATTCATCCTAAAGCACCTCTTTTATGAATGAAATCGTAGGAGCATGTTTGGTCCAGAGGAATACGAGCTCCCTGCTACACTGGAGCAACTCCAGGCTAGACACACTGTGTGCAGTGTGGGGAAACTCCCTGGGAAATCAGTGCACCGAGATGCCACGTGTGTCAGAGACATCCAGGCCAGCGTACTGCATAACATAGTTCAGGTAAGTCAGGTGCCATTTTGCTTACAGGTACTATCATTCTTTTCTATGAGTTTATTTTGATAAAAGCTGAAAGCCCTCTGGATTTTTAAGGTCTGTGTGAGATGAACTACTAAATTGGATTAAAAGCTATTTTATGAGGAATAATTTTTATTGGCACTGGTACAAAATTAAAGACTTTGACCTATCTACATACTTATATGATTTTTAATAGAATTAACGTAATTAGTACAAACGTAATTGTAAAATTTGAAATAATAAACTTTAAGGCTTTTAGCATGATCTGATGGTAGGAAGTCTATTTTAATAACCTTCATGTATTTCTCTGTAGAAAGGTAGGGTGTCAGAACTCCCAGTACCCTGAAGATCTTATTTATATTTTAAAGTTTATATTAAAACTTGGTATTATTTCTCAGAGTTCGTGTGGCACAGTGGATAAAATGGGGCGTCAATACATGATGTTCAGGGTGTACTCCCAGTATCCTGAAGATCTCCTCACCGAGGTATTTAACACCATGAGGAATGACCACATTATCAGCAAAAAGAAGGTAATTTGTATGAAAAATGTGGAACCTTCTATTTTTTTTTCACAAACTTTCAGTTTCATTTTTGCTTCAAGCTTTTAGTTCTATTTACCATTCAAATTTTTGGCTGCATTTTGATTTTTTTGCTGTGGCAACCCCAATACCGATAAAGGCAATCAAATGCAGCCTGATTTAAGTGTTGCAAGAATACCGTAATAGAAAATTGGAATAGGTTGCTCCTTCATCCTTCACATTGAGCAGTGCTGGGGTAATTTCAATGTACATATTTTTTGATTGGTCCACGAGAGATTAAATTGATTTTAGTAATTGAATTGACACTCTGGTCAGTTCTCAGTGTCAATCTCAATTTGTTAAAAAATTTGGATTCACTTTATTTGGAATAGTATAATTTTAATTATGATATTTGAAAGTTGTGAATCGTAGACGAGAATAATAATGTATTGATAGAGTGTTAATATTGATCAATGATATTTAATAATTTTAGAGAAAGAGCACTCATGAAATGCTGTCCTTTCTTGCTACAAAAACCTTCCATTTATCCCAAAGGTATGTACTATGTAATTGGTGCTTACAGATAAACAAACACTTTTGTTGATGCGTAGTTTATGCATTTCTAAGTCTTCTTTAGCAAATTTTAGAAATTAAAATTTTGTGTTTTGACAAGAAAAGTTTTTTTTAAATTGATACTTCAGAAGACTTTATAAAGAGCAACAAATGCCTCCATGCTGTACCATAATAAGATTCAAGAGGTAGAAGCTCTAATCTTTATTTTTGAAAGAAGAACATGACTCCAATGTCTTCCATATCTGTTTAATTGTTTTTAATTAAAAAATAAACAAAAAACTGATAATATTAAATGGAAATCATAAGAGATTATTGTTTATTGTAATGTCAATTTTAAATCATTAAGATATTACATATGTCATTTGAAATATAAGTAATTTGTTAAGTATCAATTTCAGGTATTCTCAGAAGTTCCAAGTGTTCTCATACCGTGCCACCATCTTTCCTGAGGCCAGTCACTATCTCTCCCTCTTGAATAAGGAAGTTGGTCATGACTTTACTGCAGAGAATACAGGTGGTGGATGTGCAGCTTTTATCACCATGTTGGCACTTGACAAGGTATGCAGGCCTGTGGCATTTAAAAGGAAAAGGTCCCCTCTGTGTAAAATTTTATCTAGGTATACGAAAGTGTCATGATAAACGATCCAGTTTTTCAGAAAAAGAACCCCCTTTTGAAATTGCTGGCTACAGGCATATGTATGGAAAATCAGTCCACACTTTTAGAATTGTTTGAATGAGAATCATCGGTGATAGGCCAAAGCCTCACAACTTAGTATAAAATCATGTGATAAAATTTGACAAGGTTTGGTATAAAATGGAATCAGAAATAATTTGGCAGATGTTCAAGTGCGGTGAGGCAATTAATAAAACTGACAGTATTTATCCACAGTTATTTTTTCTGGATGTTTTTGCTTATTAATTAGATCTGTATAATTAAAATCTGTTGCACAACAGCATGTATTTGCCATGTTTTGCATGTTACTTTTGCTTCCTAAGACCAAATTCCTGATGGATCCTCGCCTGTTTTCTAGTCTCTTACGACATCATGCATGCACAGTGCTTATAACATCATTTTAGGCTCTCTCCTATGATTTCCAGGGCAAACATGCACAATGAAATGAAATTATAAATTTCTTTACCATATCCACTTCTTAAACAGAATTCAGGTTTATATAATATGTATGTCTCCTTTTTTCTGTTAACATTAGGGATTATTGTAACATCCGGTCTGTGATGTTAACATGCTCTGGCTTAGTGCCAAATGGCAACCGCCAAAATGCCAGTAAAATGGAAGCCAGACAGGGGTATTTTTGCGAGTGTGTTCTGTTACTGGCCATGTATATTGTTTCTGCTTTGTGAATCTTAGATAAAAAAATAGAAAAAATCAGAAATTAAAATAAATAAATCCCAAAAAACAAACAAGCAAACAAAGAGGAAAAAAACAAATAAAATAAAATATAAGATAAAGTTATTAAATAGTTATCCAATGAAATGAGATATTTGGCCTTATCCGCCACAAGAAATGCATTGTAAAATTAATGTTTCAGACCGACGATTTATTTCCATATACTATGAATTTATCTTGAAGAAGATCATATGATTGTTTAAAAATGCGTTTTGGTTTATCCCTTGGCATGTTGACTTTATTTGAGTTAAATAAAAACTATTAGATGTGTTTTATGTTTGTGTTACTGGGAATCCACACTTGTTTCAAATTTATCTTTAAACCAATTTTCAGGCTTAATGATTATGACTATATGTTCAATGGGAAAAAAATGATCAAACTTTCAGATACATAATTTTGGAATCAAAGAAAAAATTGTTTCTACAATAGCATTAATTTTGTAGATCCTTTACTCTGTAGAATAAAAACTATAGGCTAGCCTGCTTTTCAATTTTGTTTGCTAGGAATGTTCTAATTTTTTCAAAATATAACACAAAAATACAGTATCAGTAAATTTCATAATTAATTTTCCCCATAGATAAGATTCAGTCATTACGGTATTTTTTTGTGAAATAAGCCCCTTTTGTCCATAGGGATGGTAGGCTAAAAGCTTCTAGTGCACATGTTCTCGCCAATTTGTGTGAAGAAGCATGGTCTGCTGCTCCAAAATAAAATTGATTTTATGAATGTTATACTCAATTTTCCTGTATGGTGTTAAAACAGGAAAACAGTATTATCTGCCACTTGTCATGAAAGCGCTTGCGTCTGATAAAATATGTCGCAAATGCAAAAGTATGTCAACTGCCTGTTTTCTTCTAGTATTCAATATTTATGAGATATGGAATTCAAAACAAGAAATGTTGTGATTAACACATTTACACAATACTGAAATGAAAGTCCTGTAAGGCTTATCTTACTCTTTTGATTAAATATTTACATTGGGTGAGATATTGACAGTGGATCTTTAGGGACTATTTTTTTCCTGTTTTCTTCCATGCCATGTAATTCAGTAACATGTATGGCCTTTTGTTACAGAAGTGGATCAACAAACACCATCTGGTATTCATTGTAGAATGCAGACAGTCTGTGCTGTTTGCACAAAAACTGATTCATCTTTCAATTTTATTGGAGTGTTTATACTTCATTCATAAGTTATTTGAGCAAAACAAACTGTTTGTTCTGCAGGCAACACCTGCTTTTGGCTTGCTTGGCAAAGTTTTATTTCACAAAATATATACATCATGATGTCAGTAATTGTTTTGTCACAGTTAGATTTCTTTAGGTGTAGCTTTTGAAACGAGAGACCTTTTTCACCTATTATTTTTATGATTATCAAAGCTATGTCCAGAAAGAGACAAACCTGCCTTTGATAGACCAAGATGTCCTTGTTCTAGGACCATTGTTCAGACTGTTAGTAATTCAGTAGTTTGAAGCACAGTGAGAACTATCTGTCGACCACCCTCTGCACAAAGCAATTTTATAAAAATTCATTGAATGGAGTAAATCTTTGCATGGGGAGATGGGCCCACTCATACTACTAAGTTACTTACAGATTATTTAAAACATATGATCTTAAAAATGACCAGGAAATTAATTTTTTAATAATCAACTTTAATTATGTACAGACACAGATGTGTCTGTACATATTGCCANTTATGTAATATGGCATCAGAATAGAAGAAAACACAATTTTGGGTGCTGCTGCCATGATGACCATTATGGGAAAACCATGTTACTTATGATTGCCAAACTTTCAAAAAAGAAATACAGGACTAAAATGCAGTCTGAGTTGGAAAAGCAGTCTAAGTGACTTCTTTTTCTGGAAGTTATACATTTTCAAAGTGTAAACTTGTCACATATTTTAATTACATTGGTATTACCTGTTGAGGATAATTAAAATTTGATGTTGAATTTGCAGTTTAACATAATGTATTTTTGCATCAGAATTGACAGTAGCCTATTTTGTGCATAGTTATTTCCTGTTTTTTGTCTGTACATTTGACAGCTTTGCTGCCTTGTTTTTCTGCAGCAGTTTAAGTCCTTTTGAACATAAAATTGGAACTGTTCAATTCCCTCTGCCTATTTTTATGTACAGACACAGATGTGTCTGTACATATTGCCATCACCTGCGTCTGTCGTCGCCGATGCCGATGCCGATGGCGATGCCGGCGCCGGCGCCGTGCACTTTCCTTGTAAACACGATAAGTGGAGGGCAGTTTTACTTTTTGGCTTTATATTTACAGAGCTGATGAATATTCATAAAATGCAGGTCAAGTTCGAAAATCAGCATGATCGGGCCATTATTGTAGAAGTTATGCTGTTTTTTCACTTTCAGCATATATGCAACACTGTAAACACATTTCAAGGAAAACCGATAGGCCTGTTGTCGTGAAACTCACAGGAGTAATCAATCTTACTAAAACGCAGATCAAGTTCAAAAATCGGCATGATCGGGCCACTATTTTAGTAATTATGCTGTTTCTTCACTTTTCAGCATATATGCAACACTGTTAACACATTTCAAGGAAGACCGATAGACCTGTTGTCATGAAACTCATAGGAGTAATCAATCTTACTAAAACGCAGGTCAAGTTCGAAAATCGGCATGATCGGGCCACCATTTNGCTTTTTGTCTGTACATTTGACAGCTTTGCTGCCTTGTTTTTTTCTTGTTTTCAGAAAAAAATATAAGGAAGATTTTACTGAATTTGGAACAAAAAAAGAAACTGATACTCTGTCTCAGTTCTCTCTGATGTGATTAGTTTTGACTGCATGGTATTAAGAGAATAAAAACAGAATTCATGACACTTTTGGAAATTTTAAAATAAGAATTGCTCCTTTGTTTTTGTTATAACTTATACAGTATTTTTTTTCTTTTTTTAGATCACTTATGATATAATAGTGCCTGACAGAGTGATTGACATAGAGAGGAAAAGGAGTGCAGGTGAAGAATCCCCCAACCAAAGTGACCAAGGAACCAGCGGACAAAAGGGTGAAGGTCAAGGCCAGTCAGAAGGCCAAGGTCATTCAGAAGGGGAAATGCAAGAAAGCCCATCTGATGGTCCCCAAGGAGCCAAAAGTAGTGTTGATTGTACTAAATCAATATCCTCTCAGCAAAAGAGCAGCGGAACTGTACTGGGTGAAGCAAAGAAAAATTTGGGTCAAGGAGATGAGGTATGTGGGTCAGTGACCGTGGAACAGAGTCGAAAAGATGACAACATGCCCCAGACCTCAGGGGAAAAAGCAGTTGTCGAGGAGGTAGCATTAATGGAAGAAGTCTTAAAGCCTGATGAGCAGGAAAACTCAATTGGGAATGAAGAAAGAGATGTTGCAGTTGAGACCATGAAATCCCTGTCATCAGGTCTCTCTTCTGATGTACCTATGGAGACAGATATTGGAGATATGGAAAGTCAGCTGCGTCGCACCCTTGCATTAGCAAAGGCAGTGAGATTTCAAGGACCTGTGGTGGATGACGATGAAGAAGATGATAATTTGGCAATGATGGATGATGATGATGATGATGATGACCCCGAGTATGTTCCAGAAGGCTCTTGGCAGCACAAAAAGACAGAGAAGGGAAAATCTAGTGCCAAGTTGCCAGCAAAGGGTCAGATGAATAAATCTGGGACAGGAGGAGAAAAGAAAATAGTAAAGAAACGGAAAGAAAAGCTGACTCCCAAGGCCAAAGCTCAAAGGCGATGGGAATTTAAAATGAAAGAAAGAGAGAGCAAACCATCCCATAAAAAGAACACTGTGATGATCAACATGGAGCAGTTGTTTTTTCATTCCCATATTCGGCCATTGAAACCAACAGATACCATTGTGCTGCGTTCTTGTGCCATTGTTACGAAATTAAAACTGTCCCACTTTGCCTCATCTCCATCTCTTTCAATCAACACTGAAGAAATTCTAAGCAAAGAAGTCATTAAATCAATCAGAAAGTCGCAGACCCGGCTGATTCCACAGAAGGTAGACTTTGAAAATTTTCTGGAGAAACTGGCTGAGAATCCAGATTTGTCGAAGCAGGATGTTGAAAATGCTGCCTCCATATACAGAGCTGTAGAAAACTGGAAGGAGCTTGGAATTACTTGGGTAGAGCTGCAGGTAGGATTTACTTTTAAAGTTGTGTACTAATAATAATAATAATAATAATAAAAATAAAAATAATAATAATAGTAATAATAATAAATTAAAAAAAAATTATTTATTCATGTACTACCCTGCGTTACAATCCCTCACAGATCATCCAACACTCCATGGGCATATAGCCTGATGATGGTCTTGTGATAAGAGCCAAATGTACATGTAGCTGTCTTTAGAAAAGGTTGCTATGTAAGTGATTATCATGATGGTTATCTTGGAACTTTGGACGATGTAATAGAAATATGAAACTTTTGAATATCTTTTCCAATACTTAAAATGGTAAATATGATTAGAAATGAAGAGAAAATAGTGATAAAAGACACTACGTTAAGGATATGTTCCAAAAACTTTTACTACTGTCGTATTAATTGTAAAAGTGTTGCCTAGCCTGTTTTAAACAGATGATATCTGGTACAGTTTTTTCTCACTCCATGTAAAATCCACTTTGACAGTGTAAATGTAACATTCAGAGGGATTGACACGATGTGTGCATTTTAGGAGCATGTAAAAACATTTTGCCCTTCAAAACTGATGTACACAGACATGGTTCGTCAATAAGATATCGTCATTCTTTATCAAATCCGTGCATGCACTGTCATAACTTTGCTGATAGCTGACATAACTTTCGTTTTTCAATATCCTTCTGATTATCTTTGCCTTTTATTGGTAATCTCCATTAATTGGCATCTATTTTTCAAAAAAAAAAAAAATCTATATAATTCCTTCTAATCTGAGTCTTTGATTTATGGCCGTGTGACTTAATTAGTACTAATATTTATTTTCATCCCAATTTTCTTTAGCAATTCTGAAAGTGTACCTGCTGTATAATCTGTATGATTACTTTGCCTGCAGTTTTATCTTATGATTTGCATAAAAGTAAATTGTGAGAAGTGGTAGATAGCCTTCCATCAATAGATGGATTTTAATTTTTCAAAGATAAAAAGCTCATTTCAGGATGAAGATCTGTGTGTGTGTGTGTGTGTGTGTGTGTGTGTGTGTGTGTGTGTGTGTGTGTGTGTGTGTGTGTGCATGGGTGTATGTGCGTGTATATGTGTGTATGTGTGTGTGAGAGAGAGAAAGAGAGAGAGAGAGTTGGTCAACTTAGTGTATTTGCACATAATTGAGTTGTACTTCACACAGACCCATGAAATAAACCTCCCATTAAGATAAGAAAAAATAACATGTTTCTGCCATTTAAGTGATCAAGCCAGTGTGTAGCACCTAACACTTAGAAAGCTACTGGAAACTAGCAGATGAATAATTAACCTAAATCTAATGAAAGCTTTTTCAACTTACTGGGACATCAAAAAGTTTGGTTGCTTCCCCAGCGATGGGAGCTTTACAAACTACGAACAAAGACGATATTGCAAAAACCTGTAATAAAAAAATGGAACACATTTGTGGAATTGAGTCTGCTCTGGATGAGTTCACGGTTGCATTATACTTTGAATGAAAATTGTGGAGAGAATTAATTGTAAATGGATTTATTAAGGCAGGCATATTCCAGGCATGTCATTATGGCATGATGGTATATAGCCTGGTTTCTGATTGAGTAAGTTTGTCCATTAGTGCCAGTCACTGGAGCATAAGTTCAGGGTTTATATTAATATCACTTGGGTCGTTTTAATGGGGAAATGGTTAAAGGGATAACAACTCTTTTACATGAGATTAAAAATTCCGCAATAAATACATTGTAAAAAACACATAGAAATGTAGTAAATTCTATTTACCACCAAAACAGTGGTTATCGCATTTATTCGGAAAGCTATGCTTGCCATTTTACCATGTGGACCTTCATATATGGCTACCCTTTGAATTAAATTCTCTAAAGATCATTAATCTCTTAAAAGATTGCTACAAAAGCCATGCTTAGGAAAAAAGACAATCCACTGACTTTGAATGTCAGAAGGGATTCATTGACCATTGGAAAGTTTGGGAAAATCACCATTTTGTTGAGAAAATCCATTGCTTTGCACTTTTCCCACCAAAATGAAGAGCTGTTATCCTTTTAAAACTTGGGCCATCTCTCCCAAAAGTTCTTTCAAGTAAAGTTGGTCATAACTTTTAAATTGAAAAAAAAATCTGGATAACAATTTAATAATTTGCTTGAATCATCCTGCAGACTCAGAATGACAGATAACAGTCAACACACCAAGTTTATGCCATGAGAGTTTTCCTAAATGGCCCCAAACTAGATCAGTTGTTACCTAAACTATGGAACAATGAAGCTTCTAAAGAACAGGAAACTTACACAGTGACTAAGTGATAGATTGCACAAGAGATTAAAGAAGATTTTTTTAGTTCCATGAAGGCATCCTTACAAAATGAGGACACACTTCAAGCATTTCATGTTTCATCCAATTTGTTTGATGACTCTTAGATAGTTTAAGATTCATCAAATCCATGTTTGGGAAGAGCATCTAAGACTGAAATATTATAGAACTGTAAAGTGGAATGGAATAATTTGCCTAAGGAATAAAAGAAAGAGTAAATATTCTTCAAAAGTAATTGACCAAATAGGACATTGTAGGATATTAATTGAAAAAAGGATAAAATGTTTATATGGACTTAGTAATATGCTGTGTAACCATTCACAGTTAAATCTTGAAATTGAATTTTCTCGATGTAAATTTAATACAATATCAAGTAGGCGTCAGAAAATGAATAGTTACTGTAGGGTTTCCTCCATTATTTTTATGTACAGACACAGATGAATGCATGATGCCATCTTGGAGATTGATTGTATATCTCAGAAGTATTCTTATCACAATGAAAAGAAATTAAATGTACATAATTAAATATACATATGAATGAACATAAACAAAGAAAAAACACTGTTGTCATAATTTTGCACGGGTATACACAATACCTTTAACAGTGCTTTACTTGAACAATACTTATGCCACAGTTAGGGTATTATTTTAAAAATCTATAAATTTAGCACATTCATTAATGTATCCACCTAAAAGTATGTGATGTAATAACATCAATCACACTGTATAATTGATTTTGATTGAACTGTATTTTGTGTGATGTCGCTATTTCTGCATGAAATAAAACATTTGTTACGTTTAGTATATATAAGTAATTGTAGTGTCTGATGGTTTCATCATCCTGATCATAATTGGAAAGTTGCATGTTCATAATGTACAGTTTGAGACTGCCCCATTGACACTGATTGTCAGAACCCATCTTTCATCATTGGTATTTTATAATGATACAGAAATGGATGTGTGATGAGGTAATTTTATGAGCTGTAGAGTAAAGGCATGCTTTTTCCATTTACAGTAATTTGGTGTTTCCATTTACAGTAATTTGGTGTTTTTTTCCTTGATAAACTAAACCATGGAATAAAATTTTTATTTTGATCCCTCACGTACTGCCCTGATTTCCATTTCTAGTAATTGCCAGCTTTTTTGTTTTCACACCTCCCTATTTGCCCATGCATTGAAAATTGGGGATGATTTTTAATCTTATCTTTTCAAAAGTACCTTTTTAGATTATTTTAATCTGATGTCAAAGTTTCTTTATTTACTTTTTTAAAAATAGTTATTATAATATCATTTAAGGCATTATCAAATGTAAATATAATTAACTAAATAAAGATAATGCAAAGCTTTTGTGTATATAGAAGCATAATATTAGGCTAAAGATATTTACTTTTTTTCTAGAGGTTGGTTGGGCATGTGTCAAGGTTTTCCCATCTCCTCTCCCTTCTGATGGAGAACTTTCTGGTAAGTCTTTCTAGCTCTGTGTATATTATTCACTCTTCCCACTCAAATCTCATCTTCATTCCTCAAAATAACCAACCTTTTTTATAGTTGCATGCAGAAATTTGATATTTTTGTGGTCTGTATATTTCACTCTCATTTGCTCCTAGTATTTTTCATTGTTTATGGTGGTTTAAACATTTAGCACAGCTGCAAAGCAACAGAATTGTAGACGCACCGCTGCGAGTAATATGAGATGTAAAAAGAATGTTTGTTATTCTTGTAACAAATAGACATATCATATTTGAAGTCAAAACTGTGAAACTGAATATATATGAACAATATGTCAAATATATGTTCAGACATAAGTTGTCAGATGGACAAAATGATATTCTGATTTTGGTGACATTCTTTTTTCTGTGAAAGGCTTTATTCAGTATAAATTACAGGTAATGTGTATGAGGTTTTCAGGTAATGTGCACTGAATGGGCAGGTAGTATGAATTAAATTGCCAGGTGGTGTGTGTCAGAGTGTCATATAATGTGCATTGAGATATCAGGTAATGTGTATTAAGGTGTCTGGTGATGTGTATTGAGATATCAGGTAATGTGTATTAAGGTGTAAGGTGATATGTATGGAGACATCAGGTAATGTGTATTAAGGTGTATGATGATGTGGATGGAGACATTGGGTGATGTGTATTAAGGTGTATGATGATGTAGATTGAGGCATCAAGTGATGTATATTAAGGTTTCAGATAATATGTATTGAGACATCAGGTAATGTAATATTAAAGGGATAATAACTCTTCGTTTTGGCCAGAAAATGAAATTTCCTGGAGTAAACAACAATTTTCCCATACTTACCAATGGTTAATGAATTCATTTTTACACTCAAAGTTAGTCCGTTTTTTTTTCTAAAAAGTTTGGTTTTTTGTTAAAATCTCTTAGGAGATTTTAACAGAGTATAGCCATCAATGGAGGTCACGTGGTCTAAAGACAAACTCAGATATGAGAATAATAGTTATTACTGCCTTTTTTTGAGGTAAAACGGAATATATTATATTTTTATGAGTTAATCAGAATGTGATTATTGTGAAATATAGATCTCACATGAAGAGTTATTAT